GAGAAATTGAAGCAACCCTACCATTTGGTGAGTGGTGAATTTTCATTAGCTTCTGCTGTTTGTCTGTGCCAGAAATTTATAATAAAATATTTATAAAAAAAAATAACATATGTAGATTAAAGCGTGCAGATGCATGTTTACGTATAGGTGTTTATTAGACCGCTGCCGAAGTGCATTTGATATCACCGGAGCAACGAGTGACGTATTGCATTAACAGTGTTTAATATAATTTACAACAGTGAAGCATTGTAGTTGAATAGCACCGAAAGCAAAAACCACAAACAAGCATTACAGTTCGTTGCTCTCAACAAAGCAAACAGTATGTTACATATAGACTCTGTTTTGATCCCTGTAAGGCAATGCAATGTAAACTATTGTAAAGCTATAAAGCAACGGGTGCATCATGCACTTACTGTCAAAAGTGCAGGGTACATGTGTAGAAAATATCATAGTCGATTTCAAAGCTGCTTTGGACAGCGGCTATGCCTAAATTTGGTATCCGCGCATAACTAACAGCATTGTGTGTTGGCATTAACATTGTTCAGAATTTAAAGACAGCGGCTACGCTGGTTAGGTCATGTCAACGGAATGTATGAAAACACTCCAGCTCTGAAAGTATTTCACGCAGTACCCGCCGGTTGAAGCAGAGGAAGAGGAAGACGTTCGAAAGACCAGGTGGAATCTCCAATTGGCGCCACATTGCAAAAGTAAGAAACGACTGGCGCTCTGTTGTTAACTCGGCTCAAGATCCTTGGTTATGTGGATGGGGATCACATCAGCACAATAGCGCCCAAAAAGTTCCTGGAATTCATCAGAGTGCTGGGCTTTGTGAACATATTGGAAAGCGGTAAGGGCGCAATAGACCTAAGGTCGTGTTGCAAACATCAATTAATTTATACACTATACACACTATTCTAATAATATCTTTGATCTTTTCATTTTAACTGCTCTCTTTTATCTGAGCATGATCTCAGACTAGACTAATTGTACCTTTTTATAGTCAAAAGCTAACTAACTGTAAAAATTCGTACAAATTTGGATCTAATTACTTTGAATATTACCAGCAAAAGTTTACTATATATGCGTACCGGTTTGTATGTTTGGAGATTTATAAACATACATATATTGTATGTATTAAAAAGTCATGACTGGCATTTATGATTATCTAATCGACAAATTGATAACCGAAACTCTTCACGCATTATTTACGCAACGTGCCCTATTATCAATGTATATAAAAAATATACTTACAGTAATCTTAATTTTGGTGCCCAGTGCTTTAAACTATATAGCTCAATATTTAATATTTTATTGTTGTATGTTAGATTTTACGACCGATCTCCGAAAATAATTGTATAGTTAAGACCTCTATAATATGCAAAAGCACGTGAAGTTCGGACTCATGTATGGTCAAAACGTCTTGAGCCCATTTCAAGTATGTGTAGGCAATTTATTCCAATTTCAACTAGTTCCACTGGATGACTAAAGGTATAACATCTAAATCCTTGCAGATTTAATTTCGCAAAGGCGGTATCATTAAGAAAGAAATGTCTTACCTTCTCATTCGAGTTTTTAAGTAAAACCTTATAACGCTATTAATTGACTTTGAATACCGATAGAAAAGTTGATGTAAAGCAACCGCCAGTAGTACGCCTTAAGAAGACAACTTAACGGGGGCATCAAATTTCTGGTGCCGCAACGTTCAAGATGTGAGAAAAGGGCTTCGGTGATAATTGTGTGTCGCGAGCAAGTGTTTTTGATTGGTACAAATTATTGAGTAATGAGGGTCGAGAAATCTTCCAAGGAAAGTTAAAAGCACGATGGGTTCCAAAATCACTCGATTTTTTCGAGAAATAGTCTCGCGTTAACCTCTGTGAAACAATGCTTTCCGACTACATGGATGTCATGAAACGTATTATTACCGGCGATGAGTCTTGGATCTATGCTAACGACTCATAAAAGACGATCAATCGACCAAATATCATGGTAAAGGTGAGGAGAAAGCAGTAAAAAACCACGTCAAAGTTCGACAAAAATCAATGCTATGTGGACAGGAACTTTTACCATTATTTCGCTAACAGTTATTGGTGTTCCGGAGAATCAAAGAGTAAACAGCTTTCGTAATAAATCATTCTATGGTCCAGCTAATACTTATACTACCTCAAATAGTCCGAGCAAAATACGATAAAATTGACAAAGTATGATAAAAGTTCCTTGGAGAAAACAAAACAATTGACAGCTGTTGCATGACAGTCATTTTTCATACGCACGGTATATGTGTACGACGTGATACAATAACAAATTTAATTGTCAAAAACAGCAAGTCATTATGACAGAATTATTAACATAGATCAAACGTGATACGCCAGCTCTCTTCAATCTTATACTCTATTAGCGAATGACTAGATTAAGCGAGTGCAAGACAAATTTTTAAATAGAACTTCGCTTACTCTCTTAAAATCAATAAAAATCACTGAAAATTTTCTACCGAAGAAATGTTATCTTATCTCTTTATATCATAGCACTGATTTATTTTTATACTCTCGCAACATGTTGCACTGAGTATTTTGGGTTTTGTTCACCTACTTAAAAATAATCGAGATAGATATGACGTTATACACACATATGTATATATGAATGATCAGAGTGACTAAACGAGTTGAATTTTAAATGATTGTATTTCCGTCCGTCCGTCTGACCATCTTTCAGCACATGCAAGCGATAAATTGAGTCGAAATTGAGATATCTTAATAAAACTTTGTTGACATGTTCCACGACAAAAAACTAAGAACGAGCAGCATCATCGAATCAGTGACATTTCATTTTACCCCTGAGATTGTATGAGGACATTATAGGAGCCCGGTTCAAAACTACATGATTGCCATGGCACCGCCCTCTATTAGATGAAATCACATATCTCGAAACCCACTCGACCGATTTCAATGAAACTCTGTATCTAACATTCCTCTGTTACAATGCGAAAAGTAGTGAAATCGGACTACAACTACAAATAAAACCTAAGTCGAAGTTGATGGCCTTCAATATAAGACAAAAAGATGCCAAAATTGTTTGTAATTTATTTATTATAATTTTATTATTTCGTCGAATAATCTTCAATGCTTTCGCAAAATTTTTAAAATCAAGTTTTGCCAGCTCTCAAAGGCATTTGATTCTTGCTAGTTGCGAAAGCATAGGTTGTTCGGTTATACCCAAATCTAACTTTCCTTACTTGCTTGTAGCATATTAGCAGTAATAACTACTGTGTCTGATACACGCTCTTCTCTAGAGATTTCACAAATATATAGAAATAATTAGTCCGGTTTTGAGCAAGGCATCTTTTGCTTATTCATTGACCTTGAAATAGCATATGTATGGGTGTTATGGAAGACATTTGAACTTGAAAACATTATGGTTAGTCATTTCGCTACACTCTAAAAAAACAAATATTTTAATCGTAATTGAAAAGTTCACACAGCTTTGACTCCTTTCATATTTTTTCAATTAAAAGTATTAAATTTGAAGTTAATCAGTTCTATCAAATAAAACCCTTTATATTATATTTTTGAGCAATAAAATAATTTTCACAACACCGTTAATTCTTAAATTACGGAAGGTACGACAGATAAAGGTAGTCATGTCGAATTTGAAAGCCAAAGGAATTATATATACAATTTTTATACACTTACCAGGCTATTTGAAATTTACCACGATGTTTGTCATATACAAAAGAAACTTCGGAGATCTACATTATATGTTCAGTGTGACAAGCTAAGTTAATTTATCCAAGTCATCTGTCCGTCTGTAAATATGCGATATACATATGTAATCTCTTGGTTTTGAGACGTTGATCTGCTCATTTGCCGCAACGGCTGATAATAGTTGTTTTTTTAATTTGCTAAAAATAAAAATCTCGCAGTACTATGATAAAAAATTTAAGGAGATTCGGTTGGAATATACATATTTTTTTTAGATTTTGAGTGAGTAAGTGAAGCTACACTCTTTAAACCTGTTTTTTTATGGACGAAAACTACACTCTTTAAACCTGTTTTTTTATGGACATAAACTTAGTTTGCCAGATTAGTTGTGAAATCGTTTATTCTGGTCACTCTCTAGTTGATAAGCAGTGTAATCCTCTCTTTAGAAGCCTTTGCTGGCGCAACTCTTTCGATTTCTAATTGCTTGTAAGAGTATACATATGCACATATATCAGCTATTTACAACGTATTATGACTTGCAATTTCTTTTTTTAATTTAATTTGTTGGTATATTTTAATAAATATAGCTTATATGACTACACCACACAGAAATGCTAGTCATGCAACAACTTTTTTTTTAAGTAAGCTTAGTTTAAATATGCAGTTTAATATTCGTAAATACATACATATCGTCACCCAAAATCCCAAATTACGTTACATCAAAAAAAATTTAAAATCATTGTCAGATATAATCATCAATTTAACCACTTTATAACCAAAACTCAAATTTAGTGGTCTCAATATCACTGGTCTCTTTTATATCGTTTTTCTTTCGCCTGTAAACTTATGAAAAGTGATGTTAGGTTATTTTGGATTTTAGTTCACGATATATACGTTAAGATTTTTGGGCTTTCTATATTTTGAACCCAACTATGTTACTGGTGCCTTAATACAAATCTTCTTCATTAATATAAATAGTATAATTTATCTTGCATCAGTGGAAACTCACTGGCAGATAGAAAAGTGCGTAGTTCATTAGTTAATTTGTATGGTTCTTGCACTTCTTTATCAGTTGATTTTACTGTGTAGCAAGTATAAGGAAACTATAAATATTAATTAATTACATTTATTTTAAACTGATCGACAAGAATGGCAACTAAATAAATTAAATACATATATACAAGAATGATGCAGTATTAACACGCATCAATATTAAGCATAAGGGATGTTAAGAAGAGAAAATCTTGAAAACAATTAAAATTAATTTTATTGCAATTAATTAAATAATTTACAATTAACGAAATACTTATGAACTTACATATATTTTCATATATATTTTTTGAAATTTATTCGCCCAAAAGCGGTCTCACAGTGATCTCGTGCACCTGCATATGCGGTGGTGTGGAGAGTGTAAACATAATGCAGCTCGAAATATCCTCCGATTTCAGTGTTGATATCCCGGAGTTTTTATATTATTCTGGCACAATTTCCGTATCCGTTAAACCAGGACTAACGCTCTATAAGACAAAAGATAATATATATTATTGCATATATATATATGAGAAAATAAGTAGGATAAAGCCGGAAAAAAAGCGAAAATTCGAAATGATATAAAAGTATGTGTGACTAAAGATATTTGTCATCTTTTCATATGAAACGAACTGTTCCTTTTTATTTTTTCATATTCTAAGAAGAGACTAATTATACCTTTTGTACTCGAAACCCTCCAAACAAACAGAAACTTAAAAAATTCTACAAAAGAGTTATTTCTTTTATATATAGGATAAGAAATAACTATTATATCTCCAATTATACGCTAAACATATTCATACGGAACTAATTAACATTCAATTATATTCTAAAAATATCTATTTAATATTTATTCATAATTGAACTCATAGATAATGTACATATCGTGAGCTAAAATAAAAAGTAACTTATCATCAACAAGTTTACAGGTGAAGGGAATGCGATATAAAAGGGACCACTCATATTGAGACCACTAAATTTGAGTTTTGGTTATAAAATGGTTATATATTGGTTACTTTATCTGACAGCGATTTTCATTTCTTTCATCATAGCGATTAGTATCAAATTTTAACACGTGCTCATTAAATATATTTTTTAGTAACTAGTTGAAGATTTTTTCTCATTAATAAATATTTTCTTTTTATAAACAACTCAAGTAATATGTAATAATGTTACTCGCCAAGTTAATAGCCACAGATGTCATGACGGGACATTTATTCCCATCTTATCAACACTTGACAATCGAAACATCATGAGCATATATACATACATATATATATTCATGCTCATTCATTTCTACAAAATTACCATCACATATTCAGAAAGTTGACTTTTCAAATTTTAAAAATTCCCGCGACAAAATTATTATTCTCAGAAATTTTTTTTTTATTTTTATTGAAAAAATTCCAAATTTTAAATCACTATATTTAATCGTCTAATTGTGATAATCAAACTTTGTCGCAGACATTTTTAAAGTTTGAAAAGTTAACTGTATGATGTTTGTTTTTGAGAAACGAAAATTAGTTGGTGATACTTTTGTTTGAATAAAAAAACGAAAATTTCTATGTTAAACGCATCGGAACTTAAAAACCAAATAGCGACCCCTTACAGATAAGCTACAGCGCCTGGATTGAGGGAAGATTTTTTTTTTTTTTGTCAATCAGTTACATTTGAGGGGGTAGGAGTTAAAGAAAAAGATTCAAAATTTTGTTTGAAGCACCCTAATATTCATATATGTATGTATATTACATATTTATATCTTAACAAGTCATATTTACATATACATAACTGTTATACAAAATATACTTACAGTAATCTTAATTTTGGTGCCCAGTCCTCTAAATTCCTGACGCAATACTTACATGAGAGCGGTTACTGCATACTTAGACGGGCCATAAACATTTAACACCGATGGCTCATTGCTACCGTATATCACATGTACATTGTGACCTGTGATACTATTAACAAGAACCACATGACCATCAAAATTACGTTCTTTCATCGATTTGAAGGCACGCTGTGTCCAATATACCACGCCATTCTTATTGATAAGAATATCGACTCCTCCCAATTCCTTGATGATCCAATCGAATGCCGTGTCAACGGATTCCTGTGATGAAGGTTTCTTGGAAAGTGCGATATTTGCAAGTCATTTGCGAGGGAAGTCGTATTATCTGCGCTATTGGTGTTCAATTTGCGGCTGGGCTCAACATGCAGTTCACTGGTTTACTAAAGAATTAAAAACCTAGTGTTTTTGTGACCTACTTTGTTGTGGGGGTTTTAGCCGGTATTTGATCGTTTGGTATAGATTGTCGAAATTGTTTAGGAGAAGCTGAAGCATCTCTTCCTAAGAGTAGCACATTTGTAAAATTAAAGCTGATATGCTTTGTATCTAACATCAGTTATACAAGTGAGCTAGTTGGAGTCAAAAGAAATCGCCTAAACAAAATTGTAATGTCTTCTCTACAAATATGAAATCTATTTCGGAGATATTGACGACTTTTACAACCTTTAAGTTAAAAGTTTTAAATTTGGAGACAGTTTTACCAAACCTTATAATATATTTTTAGCGAACAAATGTTCAAAACGCAAATAAAGAAGTGCACTTTTCTATCAGTTGATTTTATTCTAATTTAATTTAATTAAATTTCCAAAAATTCTCTTCTGAACATCGCTTTTGTTTAATATAGTGTATTTTTCAACTGTAGCATGTGCCTGTATTTTATATAGTTTCCACTCTTGCCGATAAGGTTGAAATAAATGGAATTAACTATTATTTATAGTTGACTGTACTTGTTACAACATTAAATCAACTGATAAAGAAATGCCCTTTTTTAACTGCCAGTAAGTAATGCATATTTTTTAATTTATTCTCCCAAAAGCGGTTTCACAGTGATCTCGTGCACCTGCATATGCGGTGGTGTGGAGAGTGTAAACATAATGCAGCTCGAAACATCCTCCGATTTCAGCTTTTTAATCTCATCGCCCTTATATTGTTCTGGCACAATTTCCGTATCCGTTACACCAGGGCTGACGCTCTACAACACAAAAGATAATATATAAAATATACATACATACTTGTATAAGAAGATAAGTAGSATATAGCCTGAAGAAATGCGATAATTCGGAATGAGTCCGTGTTCAGATGTAAAGGTATGTGTGACTAATTATATTTTTCATCTTTTCATATGAAACGAACTGTTCCTTTTTTATTTTTTCATATTCTAAGAAGATACCTTTTATACTCGAAAACTTCCAAATAAAAAGAAACTTTAAATTCTGCAAAAGAGTTATTTCTTTTGTATACTAACATTTAAAGGAAACCTTGAAAACAAGGATAATCTTCAATTATACGCTAAACGTATTCATGTGGAACTAATTAACATTCAATTATATTCTAAAAATATCTATTTAATATTTATTCATCATTGAATCCATAGATAGCAATCATGAATCATGAATCATGCACTAAAATGCAAAATAACGTATCATCAATTATTACAAGTTTACACGCGAAGGGAAAATGATATAAAAGGGACCACTAGATTTGAGTTTTGTTTATAAAATGGTTATATGTACATAGGTTATCATATACTCATATTGTGTTGAGACAAAACTTTAGTTTTGTTTATAAAATGGTTATGTACAGGTTAACATACACTCATATTATATTGAGACAAAATTTTAGTTTTGTTTATAAAATGGTTATTTTATGTGACAGCGATTTTCATTTTTTATGATACGTTGTTTTGCRTTTTAGTTGACGATATATGTATATTTAAAATTTCATTTCGTTCCGGTGAATATTTTCGAAGTTACATACAAATTTGAAAAAGCGTTTCAGAGTATTTCGCCAGSACGTTTCGCCACRATAACGTATCATCAAAAAATCCGAAATCAAATCACAAACATAATATTACATATGTTCAAGGTTTTCAGGTTCTGCACTCAGATATAAACCAGTTTTAACAAATATTAAAAATTTGTTTCACTCATGTTCCATTTTWTTTCGTGTTTCATTCATGCCACTGTAAATTTCCGAAAATGTTGTTACGTTATTTTGCATTTCAGGTGACGATTTGTAAAGTGCATGCCAAACGCACGCGTTTTTCTCAAAATGGTGTTTTCATAGACGGTGAGCAACATTACTAGCAAACGGCTAAACCGATTAGTCTCAAATTTTAACACGAACT